TTTCATTCTCCATAATTGTTAGATTTTGACAAGATACATTATCTCTAGACTACTAGTGTTGCATAACAGTTTCATCTGATCTTAACAAGTAGACTTTTTTAACTACCTTTTGCAGTTAATGTCTTGGCTTATATCGTGGTGGTCTGGGCAGTGCTGGGTTAACAGTTGGACTTGATGCTCCTAAAGGTTTTTTCTAACCTAAATGATTCTCTGATCTTTGAGTTTTGTAAAAGTTGCTCAAGAAACACTGGGAAGGCAAGAGAGTAGAATGGAAGGTTTGTGTGAAAAACGGGACTAGAATTGTGAAGCTATGATTAAAATTCGCACTTGACAATGGCCTCTAAGGTATCTTGAAGACCATACATAGAAATACGTCCTGCTTTTGATTTTAAACCTCTAAATCCTACCTTTTGACTCTCACACAGACTGAATGGGGGAGAAAAACCAGGAACAGCAGCAACACGGCTGCAAAAATCTTTGCATCTATCCATGCCCTCACCCTTACATTGCTATCCCTGTAGCCAGAGAATTTAGAAACCTTCAGAAAACACAAATTCTATACCAGCTCTAATACCACTGGCAGCCTGGTGTGTCTGTACATATATGTATTTTGATGTTCCAAGCAGTTTTGCACAGTCTCTCCTGAAACACACAAAAAACACCACCACTGTTTCAAAACAACTCCAAGAGGTTTGTTACAGCCACATTCCACTTCCCAGACTCCTGCAAGGGCTCAGTTTTCAGCAAGGCTGCAGGGCACGTGGCCCTACATTATTTCATGCCACTTTAAACTGTTACTATGAGCATTTTAACCACCCACAATTAAAACCACAAAGTAACCAGCTACAATCAGCTTACTGCAGAGATTCTCAGCATTGGTTTACAACGAGAAACAGAATTGCAAATTGTATTTTCAACGGATCTGCTGACTGCAGGCAACACAACAATTGCAATCTGCCCTTTTCTCCAGTACTCTTTGCTTCAGAAGAGCAGAAACAGCCTGTGTTCTGGAAGTGAAACACTTGGAGGCAGGACTCAAAGGAATTAGCAGCTGCCAGAAAGATAAATATGCAGCCACGGGAAGTGAGCACTCATTCCTCCCGCAGACACAGCACAAGGTATGGATCTGGCAGGGAGGCAGAGGCCAACTCCCAACAGCTGCTGCAATCACCACCCTGACACTTCTGCAATCACTTCTGCTACAACGGATTCAGATTCACTTTAGCAGCCACCCATATTCTCTGGTTAGTGGAGGGAAAGGGAAAAAAGGAACACCGTTGTCATTGTCCCAAAATAACTGCTGGAAGAAGGTGAATGGTCCAGGACCATTATTCTCTGTTGCTAATATCTCAGCAGAAGGTATTACTGACTTGATTCATATCAGAATGTGGAATTATATTTGACTAATGTTCTCAGAGGAATTTAAAAACAAAAAAGTGCTGGCGTTTTGTATAAAATCTTTTCAACAACGGATTATGAATATTTATAGAGGGAGCAAACTATTTTTAAATGCTTTCTCCTGTGCCAGAAGAGCTTTCCCACATTAGTCAAATACAACATTTCAATGCCTAGAACTGCAGACACACACACTAGCCAGGTTGCATTTACTCTGGGTTTTTTTAATTTTTAATTATTATGATTTCACAAAAGGAGGGAGTAAAACTTCATCAGTGTTTCTGCACAAATCCCATAAGCTGTGCAAGAGAACTGCAGCACTGTGTCAAAACAGCTTAGTAAATATTAAGACTTAAAATTAAGCTACGTTGCTTGTGAAAGTTCAGGGCAGGCAGTGCACATTCTCCGCCTTTTGAGGACAAAATAAAATGGAAATGTGCACTACAAGCTGTCAGAAAACAAAAAATTACTGGAGTTCATAGATTATGAAAAGTTTCAATGTTTAATTATCATTTTGCTAGAAGTATTTTTTAGTATTGAAAATTTAAATTGTTTGGGGGAAAACTAAGTGCATTCTTTTGCAGTTACTGGTGGTTTATAACACCATTCAATACATCACTTAAAAATCATGTCCTAGACTACAGCTGCAAATTTAATTTTCCAAGCATCAACTAATGCAGTGGTTCTCTCCAGGTATTTGACACACTACTCCACTAGTGACTCTATGGATAACTCCATATTTTTCCAGACAGCAGTGAGTTTAAAAACATGAGATGAAAAATCATCAGAATTTAATACAAAATGTGAAAAAAATACCTAAAACCCCCTAAACTTCACAGTGTTTTATTTACTACTCTTGGCTCTGACAGTTAAAGCAAACAGTGTCAGCACTGGAATTAGAGGAAAGTTGCAAATGAGGAACTAAGAAACAGTAAATCTCTTCCTGAAGAAATTTTTCTTTCTTTTTTTTTCCCCCAATGGATACTCCAGACAGGTTAGGGAATGAACAAAAGCAAAGCCCACATGGATTTACTCAACCAGAAACATAAAAATTAACCCAAAGGGTTAGTACCCATCGCAGTCACAGAGCACAGCACTTGAATGTCTCAAGAAATCATCGACCCTGAATGCTGCTCAGCTTTGCTGCCTGTCTTCATCCTTGGCCTTGACTGGCTCACCAAAACCTCCACTTCCAGGATTCTGCTATCAAACTTAGCTATTTTAACTTTTTTTTTTCTACATTCTTCACACCCTCCTTCATAACTGATGCTGTGGTGCTTATCAAGCAAACTCCTTCCCTTTTGTGGCAGTCATGCCAGGAACGCATCGTGCATGAGATGCTCATTTAAATCCAAGACCTAACAGTCTCCTTTACCTTGCAGCTTAAACTCTCACCACACAACTATCAGTGGTGGAAGGGACCTCTGGAGATCAACTCCCTTGCCAAGGCAGGGTCACCTGCAGCAGGTGGGTTTGGAATGGCCCCACAGAGGGAGACTCCACAGCCTCTCTGGGCAGCCCATGCCAGGCTCTGCCACCCTCAGTGGAAAGCTGTCCTTCCTCACGTTGAGGTGGAACTCCCTGTGGTTTAGTTTATGGCCATTGCTCCTTGTCTTGTCCCTGGGCACCACTGAAAGGGCCTGGCGCCATCCTTTGGCACCTGTCTTGGAGATATTTATGTGCATTGATGAGACCCCCTCTCAGTCTTCTCCAGACTAAACATGCCCAGCTCCCGCAGTCCATCCTCATTAGAGATGCTCCAGACCCCTCATCATCATCGTTGTGGCCTCCGCTGGACCCTCTCCAGCAGCTCCTTTTCCCTGTTGCAGTGAGGAGCCCAGACCTGCACACAGCACTGCAATGAGCCTCACCAGGTCACAGCAGAGGGGCAGGATCACCTCCCTCGACCTGCTGGCCACGCTCTTCCCAATGCACCCCTGCATCCCTTTGGCCCGCCTGTTGCAAGGGCACACTCACCAACCTCTTTACTTGGACTTCTTTGTACTTTCCCTTTAAGCATCTCTATTTCCAGGTACTTCTATTCACTGAAAACAAAACTGTAACCATATACAAGTAGTTTTTATTTCCCACTCCAGACTGAGTGTCTGGTCCTCACCTCGCAGCCCCGTCAGTGTCACCTGCAAACACCTGATGTTGTAACAGCACCAGAAACGCAGGGAGGCCACTCACACCTAATTGTTTCCATCCCACTGACACCCACAGAGAGGCACACGGGAAGACTCCAGCTAAGTGATACTTTTATTTACCTCTCCACTTTCATTCATTCATTTACAGGGACTGGACAACGAGCAATGGGTACTGACTGAAACCAGGGAAATTTAGGCTGGATATGAGGACGGAATTCTTTATTGGGAGGGTGGTGAGGCACTGGCACAGGTTGCCCTGAGAAGCTGTGGCTGCCCCATCCCTGCAAGTGTTTAAAGCCAGGCTGGATGGAGCTCTGAGCAACCGGCTCTAGCGGGAGGTGGAATGAGGTGATCCTTAAGGTCCCTTCCAACCCAAACCCTCCCGTGATTCTCACAGCGCTCGCAGCGCTGGTGACAGAGCCCTGCGAGGGGAGGGCGCGGCCCTTCCCTGCATCCCCACATCCCATTCCACCCGCCGCCTTCCCTGCATCCCCACATCCCATTCCACCCGCCGCCTTCCCCGCCAGCTCCCGGCACCGCCGCAGCTCCCGCAGCGCGGGGGTGCGGCCGGGCAAGCCCCGCGGGCTCGGGCCCATTCCCAGCCCGGCGCTGTTCCCGGCGGTGCCCGCGGGATCCGCTCCCGGAGCCGCCGCCGCGCACGAAGGGCCCGCCGGGCCCCACGACCCCCCGGCCCCGCCGCCCCGCCGGGGACCGCCCGCAAAGCTTACTCTGCGTGTCGGACAGGGAGATCATGGTGGCGGCGGGGCCGGGAGCGGCGGGAGCGGGATCGGGATCGGCGGGAGCGGCCACGTCTTCCGGAAACACGCACCCGCCGGATGAGACGCGCCCGCCCATTGGGCAGCGCCGCCGCCAATCAGCGGCCGCCTTGCAGGGCCGCGCGGACGCGGTGCCGCGCGGTGATTGGCCGAGGGGCGGCGGCGGCGGAAGGGGCGGGGCCCGGGCGGCTCAGGTGGGAGCGGGATGGGGATCGGGATAGGGGATGGGATGGGATGGGATGGGATGGGATGGGATGGGATGAGGGGCTGGAGTCAGGGAACGTGTCCGGGCATGGACCCGCGGGCTGGGCGGCGTCGGCTCGCGCTGGGGCTGAGCCCGCCGTGCCGGAGGAACCGGCAGCGAGGTGCGGCGCGTCCCGCTCCGTCTGCCCGGCCCTGGCAGCCCTTGTCCCTTCCTCCGTCCTTCCCTCTCTCCCTCCATCCTTCCCTCTCTCCCTCCCTGCATCCGTCCTGCTCCGCCCTGCACCCCATGAGCGAGTGCTTCTCTGCTTGTCTCCGGTATCCTCCCTCTCTCCCTCCGTTCATCACATCCATCCCTCTCCCCCTGGCCCGCACCTGCCGAGCAGGTGCTTCCCTGCCTCCCCCGGCAGTCTCCCTCCCTCCCTCCTTCCTTCCCTCCCTCCTCCCTTCCCGACCTTCCTTCCCTCCCTCGCTCCCGACCCGCCGAGCAGGTGCTCCCCTGCCCGTGCCCGCGGCTGATGTTCGGGATGGGAAATGCTGGGACGGCCCGTAAGGATATTCAGGCACTGGAATGGGTTGCCCAGGGCGATGGTGGAGTTTCCATCCCTGGATGTGGCGCCGGGTGATGCGGTTTAAGGGTTACAGCGGTGGACGGCTGGACTGGATGGTCTTAAAGGTGTCTTCCGACCTGCGTGATTCCATCAATATCCCTGTGTATTCCATCAATATTCCATCAATCCAAATGTATCCACGCCTCCCTGCCGTCGCTTTGGCTCTTTTGTGCCCTCCTCGTAACAGTTTCTCGTTGTTTTTCTTTTTAAGGTGACACCCCAGATTTCCCTATGGGGGTTTTTGTACCCGGCTGAGCCGCGGCCAAGGTGACACATCCCGCTTGTGCAATCCAAGGGTTCTGGGTGTGGTAACGCTCTGCTGTCATCCCTTCTCAGGGCTGGGGCGGGAGAGGTTTGGTGTGGAGGCTGGATGAAGGAGGGGTGACAGCGTTCCCAGTGCTGGGGCACTGTTTTCCATCAGTGCAGGGTGGGAGGGGATGCTGGTGACTCACCTGTCTGCTCAGAGGCCTCTTCCCTGCTCGTGGGCTCTTTAGAAATGGGGTCAATTCACAGGAACTGAGCGGTTTTTACAGTGGGGTAAAACTGCCTGATGGGCAAGATACTCCCACTTGCCTTTCCTGTGCTGTGGTTTATAAGCTCAATTTAAGTTTTATGAGCCCATATTAAGTTTTCAGGGTGAGTCAGTTGGCACTGGGGGGTCTTTGTTGGCAGTGGTGGTACAGAATTAATTGTCAGATATGCTGAACTGCTGCTTTTAGAGACAGGAGCTAATTTAAAGACCTGTGGAGCTTTAGCAGCTCCAAAGGGAACTTCCATATGTGATTTTCATTCTTTTCCCACTGCTTGTTTCCTGGGCTCTCAGCCCAGTGATATTCGTGAGGTTCATGTTTACTGGGGGCAATAGCAGCAGTGTCATGCATTTACAGTGTGTCTGTGCCACTCCTGCTGATTTTTCTGGATGTCCCTGCTTGCTCTGTACTTTATGGACACTAAATTTTCCATGTTTGTGCAAGTGACAGGTGGTATAAAGACAGAACAGTGTTGCTCAAATTCTGTGTGTGATCTGGACACTGCTGAGTTATACAACAGTCAACTTCATTCTGAAGAGTGAGCTTTTAACTTACTTTGATCATAACCATTTCTGATAAAGTCAGTGTTTTATTCACACGTTATTTTTAATCTATATTTTCTCCCCGTTTATAGGAATTCAGTAAAATATTTGTTATGGTAGAATCAGCTGATAGTGAGGATCTGCTGAATTTGTTCCCTTTCACCTTCCCTTGGCTTCCATTTGTATAATAGTTCAGAATTCAGTAACAGAGAGAACATCAAATTTCTTGAGTTTGATATTGTTAGCATGTAATATGACAAAAATGTTGTTCAAAAAATGAGTCAATAAATGGAATTTCGCTGATGATCTAATAAAAACTAATCCCCCTTCTCTGAACCAAGCTACCTTTCTCCATCCTCCTAGGAGATTCCCTAGGTGTTGATGGTGGCTGCTTCTTTAAGGGGATCAATATAATTTGTTCAGGCTTTTCTGTGAAATGGTATTTGAAGAGACAAATAAAAAGAGGAGTCAAATGTATGTGAGTGACTGGCCTGTGTCTGGCTCTCAGAAAATTTATGACCTGGGTATTTATCGCTTGGATTTTATTTAGAAGGCTGTCAAGCTGTTCCCTTGGGAATCGGTTGTGAGTTTGTCCCATTTGCAGAAGGAAAAAAGCAGTTCTCATCTAATGGGGCTTATTTACATAAGCAGGTTAAATGAACCAGTACTTAAACTGTTATATTAACACTGATGTTACTGAAGAATCTCTTACAATAAACCCGTTCTGAGTTTAGAAGGTTTACTCACAAAATACAGGTTTAAATTTATTGGTTTTGTTTTCTTCTGCAGTGGCAGCTGCTTGGCTAAATAAGGTCTCCCAAGAATAACGTTCTTTAATCTCCAAAGATGACAGCTGTTGCAGGTAATCCACACTTAGTACTCAATATGTTCATTTTGCTTTCTTTTAACCAACAGACACCGTCTCCTGATGTTACTGCTTGTTATGGGTTTGAATTTGATGTATGCAGAAAAGAGTTGGTGGGGTCTATCCTACTACAGATTTGAAGGAAAGATTTCTTTTACTGGATAGCTCTGTTTCTTAGATAAAAACTGAAACAAAATGCCCCATCCCTGGAAGTGTTCAAGTCCAGGTTGGATGGAGCTCTGAACAACCTGGTCTAGTGGGAAGTGCCCCTGCCCATGGCAGGGGGTTGGAATGAGATGGTCTATAAGGTACTTTCCAACCCCAACCAACCTATGATGAAAACAAAGCTTGTCAAGGAAGTTACTTGGTTTTCAATATTCTGGAAATATACTTCATGTTTTAAGATGCTTTTAACTCCTGCTGAGTTAACAGTGGGTATTTAGGAGGACAAATGTCCTCATTTTGTGCCATTTGAAATGAGGATATCTTTTTCCATATCATACATTTTTTGCTTCCACAAGCACGTTATCATATCTGCTATGGTTGGATCAAAATCTCTTTATTTTGGGGGTTGTTGGGGGAGGAAATAATTTCTTCTGATGGTTTTCTGACCTGGCTCTGAAACAGTGATACACGCTTGGCACACAGGGGTGTGTGTTAACTATTCTTTCAAACCCTGAGGACTGCATTCTAGAATGCAATCCGTAATTCACACAGGCGCATATTAGGAGGTAAAGAGGCAAATTCACTTACGAAACCCAAGATTTTAGGGAGTATTTACTCACTTTTTTTCAGATATGAAAGGTGGCTTGTCTTCAAAAAAACTTTTTTTTCTCCACATCCAAACCCTGTTGTTCAGCAGATCCTTTTGTTCTGCATAGGAGGGAGATCTTGGTGTGTTAAATGTAGCTTTTTTAAATGTCCTGTTTCTGTCCCCAGAAGATTTTAACTTGCTGAGGTTAATGCTGCTTCTCCCATGTAAATGCTTCCTATTAACAATGTTCTCATGTTGTGCTCACCTTGGGATTGGCCTCATCTTTGTCTTCATTGGAACTCTTGCAGCTTTAACATCAGGCTACAGTGTGCTTTCCACTGCTTGACATGCAGCTGCAGGAAAGAAAATAATTCCAGGTGTTTCTCTGGAGAGGCACTGCTTTTGAGAAACTGGATTTTGATGTATTTTTTTTTCTCTATTAGTCAACACAGGCAATGATAGTGTTGCATATCACTGTATCAGAGATGACAACTTACAGTACACCTGTGTATATATGACCTACTAATAGAAGAAATAAGTTGTTAAGCCTTGACAAGTATTTTTACATGGCATGTACAGTGTTAGGTGTTCCCATCTTCTCAGTGTCCCCGTCAGGCTGTCTGTTTCTCCAGGTGCTTTTTGTTTATGTTTAGTTTTGGATTGTTCTCAACCAACAAATTGAATGCAATTTAAAACTGGGATTAGCACGCTACTGAAATCTCTGTTGTGCCCTCACCTTGCTTTTCCCTGCAGTGCTAGAGGAGGTGCTGGCTTCCATTGAGAATGAGCTGCAAGCAGTGGAGATGCAGATACAGGAGCTTGTGGATAAACAGCAGGAACTCATCCAAAAGAAGATGAGAGTGAAGAATCTGATAAAACAGTCCTCGGGAGACTTGGAGGCAGGTGGAAGTAAAGACACTGAAACCTCACCCGAGGCATGGAACAAAAAAGGTTTGCAGAGTCAAATTCAAATATTATAACAGAAAGGTAGACTAATTCAGTAGGGGAAAGTGCATTCATAGAGAGTTTTGTTTGGATACTGATACTGTCCTATTTCATTTTGACCAGCTGGGTGACCTCCCATCCTACATGGGGTAATGTTTGTACTTAACTCATTGGACATTCCTAAATACTAATCTGAGTTCTGGGCAGAATTATTACAAGAATGGCTTGTCACAACTACTTCTATTCTTTTCATGTTGCAAAGTCACAACTTGATTTGATTTGCTTTAAGAATCCCAAAGTAAATTTTTATTGCAGTGCTTGCGTACTTAAATTATATTGCAGGTCTAAGAGTTGGACTTGATTCTTAAGGGTCCCTTCCAACTCAGAATATTCTGTGATTCCGTGGTGTTGCAATACTTATATTCCCACTTTGTGCTCTAAAAATAATTGCTCTGGATTGTCTCAGGATTTGAGAATAACAGTTTTGCACTCTGAGTTCTTTCCTGCTTGAGTGGGTGGGGACATTGGTGGTGTTTGACATGGGTTATGCAGCTTCACTGTCTTTCCAAATTTATGCAAATTAGATGGATGCTGACTGCCAAATTGATGTAGAATACATTAGTATGGTGGAATTAGTGCAAGAGGGAAGTGCCCTGTGGTGGTGTGAGGGCTGCTGTCCTTATGGAAGTGCTGCCTTTCGAGTTCAACATCAGCTGAAGTCTTGGATAGTTGAGGGGTCTTGACCACGTTATGCCTTGCCAAGTTTGATTATTTTAATTATTTTTTCCCCTCCTTTTTTACTTCAACTGCAATTTGGAAATGTGTGTATCTATTGTATGTATCTGCTTTTTTTGCCTTTTTTTAAAAATGAAATTGTTTTGTAGTTTAATCAGTATTTATATTTGAGATGACTGCTATGCATATGTAAGAATACTGATCCTTTTTCTGCATTTTAATTTTAATGGTATGAAAATAGTTATTAAGCTTCCTGTTGCTTCCGAAATTTAAGTTTTTACAATATTATTTCTTAAAATAATACGATCTTCAGCTCTTTATTGAAGAAAAAAAATACTATTAAAAGCACGTTAGGATAATTAATTGGGGAAAGATTAAATTTTCCCCACCTTCTTTTTAATAAATGCTTATTATTGATGGAAAAAAGGGCAAAAAAAGGTATCCCTGCTTCATTATACTGTTTGTAATTGCTGCATTTGTATGAGGGGAGCATTTGGACAACTGTTGCAGGGCTCAGAGTCCGGTTTGATTTACTTCCAGGGTGGGCTTCTCACTTCTGGTTAATTTTGGACTAATGACTTAACATGGTCATTAGGACTTCGAATATGTAAATTACCCTTCCTTCTTGTATTTTAACTTGCTTATGAAACATGTTTATTGTTGGTTTGGTTTTTGGTTTTTTTTCTCTTTAACAGATTTTCCATGGTATGAGAAGATAAAAACGGCACTGCAGGGCAAATTTAAACTCCAGAAGTTTAGGTCACTGCAACTTGAAACAGTAAATGCTGCAATGGCAGGAAAGGACATATTTCTTGTCATGCCTACAGGTGGTGGCAAGAGCCTTTGCTACCAGTTACCAGCTGTCTGTTCTGATGGTATGTAAGGGAAACAAAGGACATACATAAAGTATTTATTTTCTCTCTTTTATAGTTATTTGGAGAATGACCATTATGTTGGTGTCTGATATCACAGTATGGGGGGAAAAAGAGCAACTATATGAGATAGACTTGATAGAAATATTTGCTTTACTCTCTTTATTTTCTCTGAAGGAGCAATAGCAGCTTTAAATTATTTAAATCTGAATCATATCTCCAAGGCACATATTTTATCGAGATTCTACTCAATACATTATATTGTTAAACACTGAAAGAACTTTTTAAAAGTTTGTCACTATTTTTTCTTTCTTTCCTTTTTAATTCAATACACAGACTGTAAATTATTAAAGTATGGATATCTGTTATTTGCCTCTTCCACTCTGAAGTATTATTTGGGATATTTGTTTTTAAAAATAAGTATCCAGTTGTAGTTTTTTAAGCTTTTTTTGGTGGTTTTGTTTGGTTTTGGTTGGGGTTTTTTTTTACATAACCCATCCAATTGCATGGGACTTTATTTATTTACAGAGACCAAATTTACCATTACCTACCACTGCTTAGTTCTGTGGTAAATTAGCATCTCATGATTTAGATATCCAACTTGCTTTGTTTTGTGTATTAATTTTTAGACTCTGTTTGCTGCAGCTCAGTTGCTTGTGGTCTAGAGCCTAAGAGGAGGTGCATGTGCTGGACATTTAGTAAGAATTATCCCTGTGTGATCTGGCACTCACTTGTCAGCTATTTTGGAAGGGAATTTGTTGCCATGTATGAAGCTTAAGCTTTACATTTGGCAGTTTCTTGAGAGCAGGGCTGATGCATTGGTAAAAAGTATTAGAGGAGATACTTGTGACACATGAAGTGTTCAGCTGGCACAATGATTGATTGTTACAGGTTTCACACTCGTGATATGTCCTTTGATATCTCTTATGGAAGATCAGCTCATGGTTTTGGAACAGCTTGGGATTTCTGCAGCTCTATTAAATGCCTCAAGCAGCAAGGTATGTTTAACTGCCAAGTCTTCACAGTTTTTGTGCTGTATGTGCTGGTGTCTCACCTCTGTGTTACTTATGAATATTGAGTGGATGACGCAGATTTATCAGCTAATGCTGTTCTGCCAGCAGTATCTCACCAGAAAGGTGCTGTGATATGGGTAACATGGGTGAGCATCTTATGTTCTTGTTTTAATGACAACAACAAACATGTAAACCAACAGCTTCCATGGAATAAACAGATTTCTTGGGGCTGTTTAGAGGATGTGAAGTACCCGGCTGGTGTGTGTTTGTGTGTTTGTAAATTTTTACTCAGTTTCTAGACTTAGAGTAGGTGATTTTTGTCAACTAGTAACATGATGAGCGCTGCAGGCTTTGACATAACTATTTGTCTCTCTTTAGGATGGCAAGCTGTTTGATCCAGAGGTCAAAAAGCAACTTACTTCCCAGTCTGTTATTAGTCAATTGCTTTTTAAAGTGAAATATATTTTCCTGACTAACAGGAGGCTGTGATCATTAACTTTGCACGTGACACTGCCTTCGATAAATCTGTGGCTTGATGCAATGTGCAAACTTGAAGCCTGCTTTGAGGCAGAGCACTTTGAAAATTCAGCAATAAAGACCACAGTTGTGTGCAAGAAATTATTTTACACTTGTGGTACCACAGGCATATTTGGAACATTATTATGGCAGGGAGGCTGGAACCAGGTGATCTTTCAGGTCCCTTCCAACCCAGGCCACTCTGTGATTCTGTAAGGATCATGCTTCTACTGTATGATCAGGTTATGTCACAGAATTATCCCAGTTACTACAGTTTACTGGGAAATTACTGACACCACATGATGAAGCAAAGACAAATACTCAATACTTTGCCTTTTCAAAGTTCCATCATAGATTTTCCAGGTATTAAAATGAACATTTAATACATATAACAATCTTCTCCAAAGGTTTATAGTGGTGGTAAATACTGTGTAACAGTTTGTCAGTCTCTCTTAATTACCCCTTATGAATTGCTAATCACCTCATAAGAGCCTTAGCACTAAGCAACTTGAGCGTGTTGTCCCAGTTTGTTACCCGCTGGTGTCTCCTTTTGTTTTGAACAGGAACATGTCAAGTGGGTCCATAGCGAAATGCTGAACAGGAATTCACAACTGAAGCTCATTTATGTGACCCCAGAGAAGATTGCAAAGAGCAAGATGTTCATGTCCAAGCTGGAGAAGGCTTACCAGGCCGGGTGCCTGGCTCGTGTTGCTGTGGATGAGGTCCATTGCTGTAGTCAGTGGGGCCATGACTTCAGGCCTGGTATGCTCCTCAGAAACCCAGGCTGCAGGGTTATTCAGGCATCAGCAAATAATGAGTTGGGCCTGAAATAAGGCTGCTTTCTTCGTGTGTTAAGTAAATTCTTAGTGTATCACTAGGACCTCTGTTAGCTCAAGGAATTTAATTCACAAATGACTGTATCCTTGCTCAGGAGCTAAGTGCATGCAAATAGGGATCATTTCAACTTAGATTTTTGTGTCAGTGTTCTGAAAAACTCCTTATTCAGTTCACTTCAATTGGAGCGTCATAAAATCAACATTTTTGGCTGCTGTCTCTAATATGGACAATAGAGTTATCTTTAATCTACTGCTACATGAAAAAGTGTCATCCTGTACACTGCTCCCTGGCACTTTAGGCAACAGAAGTGGAGCACTTTGTAAATTCATGAGATATATTTTAACCACCTCTAAAGCAAGGAAACAAATGCCCATGACTTGCAGGGGAAGAAAGCGTGCTTCAGATTTTTTTTCCTGTCTTGGCAGTTGTAGAATATTGTTACTTACTGGTTACTGTTTCTTTGCCTTTGAAAGAAAACCTGATTTGAAGCAATGTGAACTGTAAAGTCAACCTTTGCAGTTTTGCTAAAAAGTGTTGTCAGAGCCGAGAACCATGACAGTTCAACAGGCAATGTGGCATTTGGATATGCACCTCTGGCTGCACTTCTGTTTTAAGGCAGCAAGTGATTGTCAATATTGAGCCTTTAAAATCTTTCCTTATTACAGTCTGGTCTATGTATCCAAATTCCACATTGCTTATTTGTTAGCAAAGCTGTGTTTACTCAAAAGCTGTTTGTAAAAACAGATTGGCAAAATAACCTGAATGCTGGTTAATGTGATGCCACTCACATTTTCCGAACTTTAGGAACTTCTATTTCCAGATATTTTGCCTTCTGAATTGTCTGATAATTGCAGCCTTCCAGTACCTGAAGGGGGCCTACAAGAAAGATGGAGAGAGACTATTTACAAGAGCATGTAGTGACAGGACAAGGAGGAATGGCTTCAAACTGACGGAGAGTAGGTTTAGATCAGATATTAGGAAGAAATTCTTTGCTGTGAGGGTGGTGAGGCACTGGCACAAGTTGCCCAGAGAAGCTGTGGCTGCCCCATCCCTGGAAGTGTTTAAATCCGGGTTGGATGGGGCTCTGAGGAACCTGGTCTAGTGGAAGGTCTTCCTCCCCATGGCAGGGGGGTCGGAACTAGGTAGTGTTTCAGGTTCCTTCAAACCCAAATCATTCTCTGATTCTATGATTCTGTAAAACTGAATTTTTGGTATCTATCTTGGTAACTGCAGTGTTATCCCAATGAATACTATCTACATAAATATATTTTTTAAAGTTTGGATTTGTGGAGAGAAATCTCTTTATTTCCACTCTTTTTTTTTTTTTTTCCTGCTTAGACTACAAGTCTCTTGGTATCTTGAAAAGACAGTTTCCCAATACTCCCTTGATTGGACTGACAGCAACAGCTACAAATCATGTTTTAAAGGATGCTCAGAAAATTTTGCATGTTCAGAAGTGCATTACCTTTACTGCCTCTTTCAACCGACCCAACCTGTACTATGAGGTAGGTCTCGATACCTGTTTGTTCAGCTGCATTGCTGTCGTGTTGCCTCCTGTAAGGTACAGCTGATGAGCTTTAGAATGGATTTTCTCAGACTAGATTTTAATAATCAGTAGATTTTCAGTGAATGATGGTGTTACTTGATTACTTCACGTTGCTGAACCTGCCGTCCTCTGCAGAGGGACTGTCTGTGTGAGCAAGGCTTAGCAGACACCACTGTGTACAGGAGAGAGGCAGGCAGCAGGCTCAGATTGCTTCAACCTGCTGGAAAATATGTCCTGTGATGGCAACAATTATTGTGTCATGCTTGCTGTATTTTCAATTTGGCCACAGGTCCTTTTATTTTTCTCGATAAGGAAAACTTGTGGGTTTGTTTTTCTGTGGACTTCTGAGTTGTAGTCTGACTGTACACAAAAAGCGTTTTTGTTAAATGGCAGAATAGTTTTGTTTGTCATGCTGTAAGGAATAGAGTAACAGGATTGTTTGGCACACTGTGTGCCCACTTGAACTCTGACATGTCTGTATTATACCTTTGAGGTTCGGCATAAGCCTTCAAATAATGAAGATTTCATTGAGGACATAGTTAGGACCATTAATGGAAGATACAAAGGACTGTCAGGTAAAAAATGTGAAAAAAAAAGTGCACTTATTATTTTTCATAATCTTGAACATTACAAGGATGTTGGGATGTTTTCAACTGATCCTGAAATGTGGAGAGAAATAAATTCTACCTTCACATTACATTAAAGATCCAGCATTAGAATAAATGAAATTTAGTAAGATCCATACCTTGAACAATTTCTCTCCTCATTCATTAGTGTTTAAATCTCTTTACTGCCTACTTGTATCTTCTGAAGTATTGAAATAGAATGTTGATGTATATAGAACAGTGTTCACACAGGTAGAAATGATAGGAATTTTTAAGATTGTAAAAGCAATCGTACATGTGTCATTTAATATATGTCAGGAGACTTAGTATCTTTGATGCTTCTTTTTTATATTTTATTATAAGATTCATCTCTATTATTCAGTGCCCACAGTGGGTGTTACAGATTGATTTGTGTTGAAAGCAGAACTGTGTAAGTTGGACTTTGTGTAATCAATGAGTTATGTAGTGCAAATTAAGAGGGGAGACATCTTGCAAAGGCAAGAGAACCTCGTTTTCCGGAGCAACAGCCTGTCCCTGTCTCTGCTGTGAGCTCTGTGGATGGGATGAGCAGCTTCCAAGGAGCTGTGCCAAGATGATCACAAATCACATGGCCTTGTGTGTAATCCCTGCCTAAGCCCAGACTGACTAATGACAAAAAGCAGATTTATCTGAAACCTCAGGTGAGATGCCACAGATGTCATAAGGAACAGCACCCCTTTACATAAGCATTGTCCTCCATGAACATTAATAGAACACTTCCATGATTATGTGGATTGACAACCGTATTTCTTCTTCAGCCTACAAGTCCAAGCTGATAACTGAAGTTTCCTTCACGGATACAAATACTGCAGACTGAATAGGCAAAAAAAGACTGTATAATGCTTTTTATGTATTATTTTTAAGTTAATAAAACTTTCACAGCTGTTTTTAAGTACTGGGGATTGTTTGGCTTTTTCAAGGCATTACAATGAGGCATCTTTCACTTTTGTGCAGGAATTGTTTACTGTTTTTCTCAGAAGGATTCTGAGCAAGTTACTGTGAGCTTGCAGAAACTGGGAATCAAGGCAGGGACTTACCATGCAAACATGGATGCTAAATATAAGACCAAAGTTCATAAAGGATGGGCAGCAAATCAAATCCAGGTTAAGTAGATACTTTTCATGGACTTAATGTCTCACTCAAATTGTGATTTGGTGCTGTGATGGTTTCTTAATCTCTTTTTTTTTCAGGTTGTAGTGGCAACTGTTGCTTTTGGCATGGGAATTGATAAACCTGATGTGAGGTTTGTAATTCATCATTCTATGAGCAAATCCATGGAGAACTATTACCAAGAGAGTGGACGTGCAGGTAGGAAATGGCCTTTGTGAGGTCACCATTTACATCCTTTGAACCAGTAAAATTACACTTCAAGTTTTCAGCCATTTGTGCAAAGTCTCTTGTCTCTGAGACAGGTTTCAAACTGTATAATGACAATCTGGCCCCTCTAAAGAGGCTTTAAAGCAAATATAAACTGCATTCATTATCTCAGGCCTCTACTGCAGTATAACAAGGAGTAACTGGGTACCCAGCCCTTCACTCAGCACTTTTTAATTGATTTTTACGACATCTGTGCCTTACCAAAATGGATGTATGATCTTTTAGTTATTTTCCTAGGTATAGCAACTGGGATGTGCAATTTGCTCCAATTGTCTCTAGATTATGTCTAAATTGTTGCATGAATTTCAGTGGCCACAAAAATACAAGTAGGGTGGGGAGTATGGAGCAGGGAATTTTAAGGATTGATCAATGTATAGCAGAAATAAATAGGTGTTATGGCTAAAGGAATGTTAGTGTTGTGGTTTTTGATCTTGTGCATCATTACTTTTTCAAAAGCAGAGTTGAATCTACATGGAAAAAAGCTTTTCAGGGACCTTGAGGGGCAATTGGTTGAGATTTTAATTTTCTGTTCATTTTAATGCATTGCAGGTAGAGATGACCAAAAAGCTGACTGCATTTTGTATTATGGCTTTGGAGATATATTCAGGATCAGCTCAATGGTAGTGATGGAAAATGTTGGGCAAGAGAAGCTCTATGATATGGTATCTTACTGCCAAAATATGAACAAGTAAGTTACTGTGGTGGCTTGGTTGCCTAGTCTTTAAATAGGCTATTTTTGGGGGGGCTTTTTAGAGGGGATTTGAAAAAAAAAAATCCTCAATCCAACCTAAAACAAAACCAAAGCCAACCCATCACCAAACAAAACCACCCACAAGAACAAACTTGCCAGCTTCAGGATTAAATTTTGGAAGCAGTGAAATACCTGTCAACCAACACTGTTTGGATTTCAAATCCCATCCGGAGGAAAAATATGGAATGCTTTGGTTTTTGCTCTGATGTAGCAGCGTTTACTGGCCATATAGGAATCCACATGTGTTTAATGCTTCATCTACTGCACTGAGCTATTGGGAATACTTCGTGGAAAACACTTGTATCAAAGTTGTGGACTTTGCTAACCTCAGTCTAAGAATGAGTTCATATTCTTAGGATTTTTCATTCTATTGAAATTGCAGATTATACTTTTCTGCATTAACCAAACTGTTGCTACATCAGTGTTAACTCATTATTCCTGTTGGCATAACTGACAGGGAATACTGTGTTGCAGTATTTGTTTTCTGATTTTTCCTGAGACAATTCTTCATGCCAGTCTTGAGAGATGAGCTGTCCCAGGGGCCCCCTTTGTTGCCATTTTCATGGTTTATAACCCTTGGGTCCCATGGTCCCTCTCTGCTCTCCCAGGTGTCGCCGGGTGCTCATAGCCCATCACTTTGATGAGGTGTGGGATTCTGCAAACTGCAACAGGATGTGTGATAACTGCTGCAGAGAGAGCGGTGAGTAAAGGACAGAGAACATGGGAAAAGATGGCTTAAAGAAATACATCTAGTTTAGGAAGACTATAAGCAAATTTTGTGAACTGTGCGTGTGATACCACCTGTTTTCGTGGTGCAAATTTTGTTATGCATTTCAGCTTTTGGTGTTGCCAAATTCAGGGTGTTTTAGCAGGATACTTCCTGATTTGGTTTTCTGCCAAACACTTTGGTATCCTTAAGTCTCAGCTGTTCACCTGTTCCCAAAAGGGAAGCTGGGGCAAAGGGGAGATTGGCTTACCTGTTTAAAAAAGATTCTGGAAGGAGTCAGGTTTTGTTTTAGATTTTGGGTGTAAAAGGTTTATTTGAGGAGGAACCCTTTGCTTTCTGCATGCCAAACTGTTCATATTTGGGCTCTGAGAAGGTACAGTTCGCCCATCCTCTCACAACTTCCCTGGTAAAATCCCTGAGGATTTCAGTGCCACATGCTCATGAGATGTACTTGTGTCAGGACTGTGCGTGACGGGTGTGCAGAACACCTGAGCACACTAATTTAGGGCTTTGTTGTGGGTTAGCCCTAACAGCACAATGTCTGTCCAAAGTGTGCTCTTCCTTTGGATCATAAGAGGGAAGGCACAGAGGGAGTTGGGAGATAAGCTGAAACAAGACCAGCTGCATGACAAGAGGATGGTTTCAGTAGAATGTGGTCCTGGGACATCAGCTCTTTTACTGTTTTGCCCACAAACATCCTGGGGGTGTTGGGGAGCTATCTATCTACATGTTTTGGGATGTAAAGTAGACAGAAATGTAACTTTTTTTTTTCTTTATACAGTTAATTATGTAATAAAACTGTTTTGCAAAATCATGCAAGTGACAATGTCTTGTTATTTTCCAGTTAGAAATGGGGTTTATTTGAAATATATATTCTGGGATCAGAGGTTGGTAAGAGTATGGAACTGGCTTGTACCCAAGGCTTACAGGAGGCATGTGATGAAATATAGTTGAAATATATCCTGTGTACTGCTGTTTCACCCCCAGGCCTTTTGATACATAAGCAAGGTGTGAGGAAACCTTGCAGCAGTACTTGTTTTTCAGTACCTAATTCTTAGTATTGGAGGAGGCAGTTGGGGTAATTCTGTGCCATAATCTGATCATGCAGAAGAAGGGTGATCATTATGTACTGCACAGATGTGTTGATGCTCAGAATAATTATTGATGAAGCTTGTTTTTATAATGTAATTAATACCTTTTTTCTGTCTCATTTTGTCCTTAAGTGTCTTGAGAGAATAAATGTCTCATTTATATTCTTCACTCCCTCTGTGCTCTCAGATCTTCTCATAATAAGCACTGTGGGTGAGGAAAAGGGATCCAGCTGTAGAGTAACATAGTAGCCACCTTGCAAATTCTATGCTTTGTAAATGATTCTTTAAAATAATCTGTGTGGTTTGTAACATTAAATGCAAGTAGAAATGTCTGCCAGATTGGAGTTTCAATAGTGAAGTAGGAAGATAGATGTGAGTACAATTATATCCTAATGTCCAGAGGGAAAGTTACAGCTTTATTTGTTAAGTTACAGTTTTAAAAGTACAAACAAAAACCCCAAACATTGCTATCATGCAGCAGATATGTATCTATCTATCTATAAATATATAAAAGTATATACATGTATATATGGATACTATCTAAATAACTATAAATGACTTGCTATTTAAATATTCTTTCCCTTTTATCTGCAGCATGTGAGAAGATGGATGTAACAGGATACTGCAGGGATCTAATCAAGATACTTGAGCAAGCTGAAAGCATGAGTGAGAAACTCACCCCACTGAAACTAATCGATGCGTGGTCTGGGAAAGGTGTGTCCAAGTTCAGGGTGGCTGAAATTACTCCACCAAAGCACCCTCGAGAGGAACTGGAGAGAATTATTGCCCATCTACTGCTGCAGCAGTATCTGAAGTAAGATGACTCGTTTTGTTTTGAGTTTTTCAAACATCTAGTAGTCATTTTTCTTTACTCTTTTGTTACTTCTGTATAGCATTAATGGATACATTCCACAGTCTTGTTTTTTAGCCTTCATTTCAGATGCATTTAATGTATTTTTAAAACTCCACACGTATTACTATATTTCCACTTCAAAAGTTGGAGGAACATTTGAAATGCTGCATCTCGTGCAATTTTAAAAAGCTGGGGTTTTCTATATTCAGGTTAAACCTTTAAGTCTGCAGCAGGGTTCATTTTCGACAAGTCTGCTGTTTATAATAGGTCTTGTTCACATTCCATGGATAAGGAAAGCAAAAGGGGTGGCCCACATTAAGTCAGGACAGGCTGGCAAATTTGGAAAGTGGTACCCAGAAATGTTAAGAAAGCCTAGTGAGAATAACAGTCCTGCTTTTGTAAGTTGGCAGTGAGTGTTTTGTCTTCTCTACAAGTTGTACAAATCAAATTTTTTACCTCAGTTTCCTCCACGTATTTCAAGAGGTGTCCCCGTGTGTGTATATAAAGGTCCACAAGCTGAATTATGTTAAGTGTTGACCAGACTGGCTGCAAGTGAACTGACTGTCCACTTGAATAAATAAAGCAGAACCAAGCTGGTATTTGGAACATTCAACAGAAGGGTTTGTGTGTCCCTTTTGTCATGGAAAGGGTTGTCAGGATTGAACGGGAAGCCCAGGGAGACAGTGGAGTCACCATCGCTGGAAGCGTTCACAGAATGCGTGGATGTGGCACTTGAGGACGTGGTCTAGTGGTAGTGCTGGGGGTTGATGGTTGGAATTGATGATCTTAGAGGTCTCTTCCAACCTTTTAATGATTCTTTGATTTTTTTCCCCCTGTTTGGTCAAGCCTGTCTTTGTCTCCAACCTTCCTTTGTAACACTGATTTAATTCATGCAGGGAAGACTTCAGCTTCACGGCATTCGCTACAATATCGTACCTGAAAGTGGGACCCAAAGCCCGTCTGCTGAAAAACGCGGACCACGTCATCACTATAGAGGGGATGACAAACAGGAAACTTGTTGACAAGGTATTTATATCTCTACTGACTTGCAATGTAGATATCTGCTCCATTATAGCTTATTTGAATAGTTTGGTATCTGCTCAAATTATTTTTGTAGCAATGCAATCAACAGTGTTTAAAACAGACCTCATAAGTATTTTCTCTCTTTTGTAGGAATGTGGAAAAAGAAAGAAAACAATGCTAGAATTCTAACAGAATTGTTTATAACTTACAGGCTAAACCATCTCAACCTTCAAATTCGAAAGGAAGCAGCAAAAATGCTCAGACTGTTTCAAAGGCTGTCCAGGATTCAGTGGGGAAGAAGTTAACGGAGCATAAGCGGCCTGGCTGTGGGTCTGACTCAAAAGCAAAGAAGCCTAAGCTTGAGGCAGGTGGAGTTGACCAACCAGTGGTTATTGACTGAGTTTCACAGACTACATTTAGGATCTAATCATGTTTTCTTCTCCATGGACAATACAGTATGTTCCATTTGTGCTTTAGTAATGGTATTTATTTTACTACTTTTTTTTTTTTTTTTTTAAATAAAATCCAACCAGGGAAACAAGTATTTAGAAAAAGTCCATTTTCCTAGTGAAGGGAAAAATGTTTCTTATAAAAAGAATTGGTGCTTGTTTTAGGATACAGCAATTAATACAGAATGTAAATAATGACTGTGTTGCCTTTTTAACTCTTTTGGAAGTGTAGTGTACAGTGACAGTATTGCAGGATCACACAGGGCCAAAGGGACTTCCAGAGATCATCTAGTCCAACCTCCTGCTCAAAGATAAAAAATCACTCAGGATTACCAAGTAAGAATAGAACAGAAGACACAAGATGCTTCAGAAGTTGTGGGAATTTGATAATTTAGAAACGATGGTGGAATTTTAATTTTGAGGTTTGGAATTAAGATTGAAACTGATTTCCCTCCCTGCCCCCCAAGAAAAGCAGAAGAACTATATCTGGAGTTGAACACGCTGTCAGGGCCTGAGACTGAACACAGGAGGGCCTTTACTGTGCTAGATACAATGGGATAATAATTCTTGAGCTGTACCTTGATGAGTTTGAAAAAACATTATCTGCTCCTGCAGTCCCCGTGTCTGGTACCCATAAAACCTTGGCTGCTGCCGAGACCTTGGCGCTTTCAGTTCCACTTGTCTGTCCCAGCTGGGCTGAGGAAAAGGCCAGAGGGGCAGCTCTGCCCACCCTTCCAGTTCCTGAGCAGCAACACCTGCTGGACTTTGGTCTTATGTCTAAGCAGTTAAACCTCAGAAACAGAAGTCGTGGTTATGCTATTTATTAAAAAGCATCTCTGAACCACATGAAAGTTACAAGTAAGAGTGAGGGTCCCTTTAGGGGTCTGGATTTCCCTTCCAGTTTCTTCTCAACCTCGAACCTGGTGCTCTCCCTTCTCTCACATGTGCTTCAAGGTGTTGCTAGAACACTGTTGCCATCTTGATAGATTTGACTAATTATATAAAAGCTCTGTAGTAATAGAGGGCTCATTTGCATACAGCAAGTAGGTTTGAGGAAAGTGATGATGTTTTCCAAACAAGGAGCAAAGCCTGTGACTTCCCAATTTTCTACATTCAGGTGCCACAAAAGCACAGAGCAGCTGATGTGGGAAGGGACCCTGAAAGGTCTGGACCAACCCCTCCTGGAAAGGGAGTCTAGACAAGATCATCAGCCCCCTGTCCAGTTGTAGAAATACATCCCTGCTGCCTTCCTTTGAATATCAGTGTTTCCAGAAACAAGTGGCTGTGCTGGCAGCCTGGTAAAGATCCAGCAGCCACTGCTGCCTGCAAGCCCTGCTCAGCACACAGGAGGTTGGGTGCTGGATTCAGTTTTGTTTATTCACTTACTTTTAAGGTCTTAGCGGCCAACGATCAGAAAAGCAACTTCAAACTCCTTGACAAATGTTAAGTTCTAGGGTTTTGCATTTGGGTTCTCCCCCTTCTCCCCTGACATTTACATGTATAACAACTTAAATATAAAACAAACATCATCAAGAACATGTCTTTCATCTTTATTGTTCTGATTAAATCTTGACAGTGACTAAAGCTCGGTATTTCATCCATCATTTAACTGAGACCTTTACAAAACTTGGCATTAATTTAATTAGAAAGAGTTATTCTCCCCCAGTGATTTTCTGGGGGAAGTCTCAATATGTACTGAAACCTTTGCAGTTAGGGGAGTACAATAAATTGTTCCTTGTGTGACAATAAATAAACAGCAGCTCCCAAGTAGCAACAGCAAAACCAAACAAAAAGCCAGAACGAAACAACCCATGTCCCTGGGTCACCCTATGAAATTCATAAAGGACATTAATCATAGCTTCAATTGTTGGGCTTTATCACCTAGGCACTAAATTAGGCCTAGCAAGTAAAAAAGGAGGAGCTTGGTTGAAGCAGGTCTGTACAGCCTAATCACTACTATTAAAGTGCATCTTGCATAACTAAACCTGCAGCCACTGGGCCAGTTACTATTGAAAACAGCTTAAACCCCCACTGGAAACTTAATTGTAGATATTTTGTCACTAGTTGTAATTTAGTTACCATCACATCAAGTCAACTTCGAGTTTAGTACTTGCAAAAATTCCTTCCTGGAACCAATGTGCAGGACAGTGGTAAAGAGGAACAGACAGGAAGTGACCAGGATCTATATTCCCCAAGAGGACTTTCATTAAGCAAATGTAATAAGTGCCTCTTACAAATCCCACTGGGATCTGGGACTGCCATTCAAAATGTATGTATCATCTACCACCTCAGCTGGACACTGCAGCCTGATCCACAGGCTCTTTCCTGGGAAGACTGCTGCAGGTGACCCCTGCCAGTGCTGCTGCATTATCTTTCCTGGGAGTGCACTGCCCACTGGTCCTGTTGGAGCTGGGACAGGATGCACCAGTGCAGCTCTACAACTGGAGAGCTGATGTGAAGAACAGTTTAAAAAGCTGCTCTCACCTCACATCTCATCATGCAAAGTGTTTTGTACTTAGCTGAGCAGTAAATACATTTGCTTGAAAAATAAACTTATGAGGGGGAGAAAAAGAAAAAAAACAAAGGATAAGGCATCCATCTTGCTGTGTATCTGCAGCTCATATTCCAGGTGGTGGGAGCTCTGAGCTCCCTGTATCCTAGAACTGTTCATTGAGCCAAGTGGACAGAGTTGTGGCAGGTATGCACAGGTGTGAGCAGTGGAGTGGTGCCAGTGGGATGGCAGCAGGCTGCCTGACCACTTGTGAAACATTCACCTGAGCACGTGGTTTGAGGAAGCAGAGGCTTTCCTGACCCTGGCCAGGACTCACCCCCCTCAAGGCTGGAGGAGCTTTCAGTAGGTCAGGCCACACCTTCCCATCAAGGCATCCTGGCTCCCGTGGGGGCTCACGGGCTGAGCTGAGGGACATGCCCAGGAATGAGCCATAGGGAAACTGGGCTCCGGTAACCACAGCAGGTGGAATGGCTGGTTTGGGGAAGGAAGAGTTTTAACATGTTTGTCTTGCTTTTAAAAAGGCTCCCTCATGTTCCAGTGAATGCAGTGCTATCTTAAAATGCAGCCTTCACTGAGGCTGTTGCAGCCCTGTTTTCATATCCACATCTAGACCAAAAAGCATTTGCCAACACCAACCCGTTGCTTTTGTTGCTGCATTTCTACACAGATTAGGTTGCCAGTCAGTATTTTGACAAGATAAACACAAAATCTTAATAGGGAATTGCGTTTATCCCTCATTTCTGGTAATCTTGAGAAAACAATTTTACTTTGTATCAAAACTATACAAAATGGAAATGGGGTTGTGTTCAATCAAAATAATCTTCTATATCGATATCTGGATTCAGGAGATCTTCCCCATAGGCTGAAAGATCCATCTGATTTAAAATCAAGTTTTCAAAAGTTTCTTCCAAGTCGGTTTCACCGATGAGCACAGCTCCCACCATTCGGCCGTTCTGCATCACCACCTTCACGTACTCCTGTCCCTTGGTACATCTCAGCATCAGTTCGTGGTCTGAGCCCAAGCCCTGAGCGTTGTACTTCCCCAAAACCACCACCTAACAGAAGGAAAAGGAGAAAGGAGAAGCACTCATAAGAACATTGCAGTGGCTTTTAGTATTTCTGCTGCCAACAGTTCTAGGCCTCAAAAGACTAATGAAAACAGGTAAGTATTTAGGGACCCTCCCATAAGAAAACCCACAACAGACTCAAAACTCTTCACCTTGAAATACACACAAAACCCCATAGTAAACCAGTTATCATGCTGAACTGTGCTGAATTTAGCCAGGAGCAGAACCTTAATGAAATGGAATATATACAGGGATAGAAGGCAGATCAGTTGTCATTCACCAACTGCAATTTGTAATGTATCTGTAAAGATCTTTGCCCTTTTCAATTTCTGCACTCAAGGTGAGTAAGAATAGAGACAATCTGAGCTAACATTAATTACTATATAAAGAAAACTGTTTTGTCAATATTAAAGCACCTGCTCAGTGTTAACAAGTGAGTGTAAGTTAGCAGTATGTGTTACCCAGTGGTTTAAGACCATTAGACTGTATTTACTTTACCTTGTAATTGAAGAACTTCGTAACATGAGCAAATAGTTCAAAGCTGAAATCCATATCAATAGATTCCCCCAAAGTATCTGCTGCCATGCATTTTGCCGCATACCATCCCATCTGCCGAGCTTGAGTCCACAGTCTCATCTGGAGAAGAAAATTGGAAAGATTTCAATCACAAGACGCGCATGGCTGTGCACAGACCAACGCTCGCTGCTCTCCTCAGTGCTCACTGTGTGTTTCTGTGATGCTCAGCAGGGCTGGACAGCTCGGCCTCCTGCCACCCAGATAAACTTATCTGTCATCAACACACCCAGGATTAGCTACTTGCCTAGACTCTCTCCCCTCGGAATGTGTCACGGTGTGCGATTTGCTCTGTGGGTCAGACTGTCTCAGACACTCGTAGGGTTGGACGTACCTGGTGCCACACAGGACTCAGCTCCCAGGCTGCCGTGCAGATGTCTCCAGCTGCGTACACATCTGGCACCGACGTGCGCATGTGTTCATCTACTTTGAGTCCTCCATCTTCACCTACAGCAAACTGAAGTATTTGCACAGGTCAGTATGAGAAATGAGAAAAAATGAGAAGTAATAATTTTAAGTGTCATTCAATTCATCCACGTTAAGCAATCGTCTCCTTTGTTACTTTATTATTTAACATGAGACTATCCCAAATGGCAAGACCTCCACGGAAAGTAGAGAGCATTAAGATTATTTCTAGAACACAGCACAGGTTTTTAAAATACTGTTACTCATACCTAGGCAGGGAAGTGTCAGAGCTTGCCAAATTTCAAATTACGTGATTTCACTTTTTATTTTTGCCAAAGTGAGAAAATACCAATGCAAAAACCTAATTCCTAATCTATCCTTAGAATGCAGGCCTGGGAATCTCTCCTGACTAAACATCAGATCTATCTTTTCAGCATTTTCTTCTGCTTTAATCAGAGCATAGCATTTTACTTCCTAAACCACTAAACACCAAATAACCCAACATACTGGTTTTGTCTGGGATAATTTTTTTAGTAGG